ATACCGTAGCAGTACCCGTCCATTAAACCCCAATGCATATGCATTGGGAGTTTGGCAGCGATCAGTGAAGTTCGCCTCACTGTATTTCGCTGTACGATAAATGAATGAATGACATGTTCACATCACCAAAGACCCAAACTCAAAATGTTCACCGCTTTTTGATACTTTCGTCAAATGCATGTCAAACATTTTTTGAACTGAAAAATTTTTTATTTAGGGATCAAAATATCCCAGCTACCTGGAGTGGTTATCCAAGTTGTCATCCATGAACTGCTACAACTGTCAAGTTTGTAACATTGGTCTGGTGATCACTGCAAACTGATAAATGAAATTGTTGATAGTTCCAATAATAAAACTTTTCTTTGAGCAGCATGAAAAGGATACGATAGTTATTATCTAGATCCAGTCGTAGTACATTTCTAAATTTTACCGACTACGACGTGAACTCTAGTCTCATCGCCATCATGACAAGCCTAAATGTCTGTTTGGTAAGCAGTTTGTGCGACGGATATTCGTCTTGAAAAGATCACAGCTTTTTAGATTGCAGAACTAATTAAACTATAATAACCCCTTGTCAAACTTTCCCTCCTTCATTAGTTATTGATAGTGGACATCCGAGTAGACACAACAGTTAAAATGAACACAGCTATTATTATGAAACACCGAAGAAGCTATATGATGCTATATAATGATATGATCTTTGTCCACAATTTCTCAGTTGTTGGTTGCAAGTTTGTTTGCCTTCTGGCAATTGGTTCTAACATCCGATCACAAGGGGCATTCATAATTAATTTCGGTTCAAATCAAGTTTTATAAACATTAACCATGCACATTTGTGCGGCGGTTTTAGTTACTGTCTTTAGGCTACTCATTGGGATCAAAGTGCGGAAAGAACATTTGAATGTATAGAGCTGAGTCAGGGATATGATGGAGAATTCATATAAGTGCAAGGATATCGAGTAAATGCACGAACGTCACTGTTTTCGACGCAGCCATATCACTCCGCGTCTCTAACCACCGGTTACCATGATCTAGGGGTCCCCATCCAGGGAGCTTGAAGCGACGTATTTGACCGAGTTTCCCGGTTAGGGTTTTCATACCGTCATGCCGGGTCTTAATTTGACCGTCATTGACCGTTTTACATTCACTGTCTGCCTCGGCAAACGTGCGTTGTGACGTGACATTTGCCCAATTGGGAATGATCTATGAAGGTCGATCACTTGATCCAATGAACGACTGCGGTTGCCTAAAACTTAGCACTTAGGTTCAGCATCGAGTGTCCACTTTCGCTACCAGACTTGTGCACCGCGATGTTTGAACACCGACATTCTTTTTTTTCCTGTTTTTGTGATAGGCAGGTTTCCTCCGTATGGCAGAAATGGCTGAAATGCTACAACACTCGACCATTTACAGACAGTTGGAGGCCACGACGGCGCCACAGATGTCTTAGGCTGGCAGGTGACAGTCGATCCTTCTGTATACGTGCCAACAATTCACTCGTAACCATCTAGGTGAAATATAGCTGCCCAGATAGCGAGTACTTCTCGGGGTTGGCACGAAGCGTTTCGCGCTCTCGGGGAGACTAGCGTTTTTTGAATTACCACACAACTTTTCATTATGTCAGCCACTGGAAGGAGGAATGAAAAAAGACAGCAAGCTGGGAAAGGGCAATATTGTTCGATTTTTTTTCATACTCGCATTTTTCCAGACCGTGTCAGACTAATCCTGTTGCATCAATTTTTATACCAAAGATATCAGTCTTGGGTGAAAAACAGTCCGGTTGCCCAGGACGAAGCAGGCGAATTTTCTTGGGCTGTTTTCAGCCAAATCCTTCGAATACCCGAAGCCTGACTAACGTGTCAATGGGCTTTGTGTAAAAACCGGTGTCCAGTTCACTGGATCGTCCACATCCTGGACGGGGTCAACCATACAGGGTGCCCAATGCCCAACCACACCGGTGACCAGTAACCACTGTCAGAACCAGGAATGTGGATGTAATAAAACACTCTCGAAGTAGAGGCAGTGTGTAGGGCTTCGTGAGCAGGGACTATTCGAGACTATTGATCGTCTAACAACATTTCATCAGATGCAAGGAAAGGATGACCAGTTACCCACCACCAACCATACTGAGGCAATAAAATGCATGATAAAAACCAGTGTAAGAAAATACTTAACTTGTAGCAATGAGATTACTGATACACCTGATTGCTTTTCACTAATTCCCTGGATGTTTACTGTAGTTGTTTTTATACGTTTCGTTAATTCTAAATCAGAACCCGGTCTTCTGGCTCAAACCAGTCTCCTTCACTTTGGTACGGTGTCTCAGTCAACTGGTGCTCTCACTAGACACATCAAATTAATCAACCCATTGAAGTATGACGTTTCCATTGTGGTAAGTAAATGTCAGTTACTCATGAATTTCATCGCAACATTGCTAACTGTTTCACTATTCATTACTTTGTAAAATAACCTTTCAATGTGGATATTTGTGGTGATTTAATTTGGATCACAATTTGTAGATTCGTTTCAGTACTGACTAACTGGATGTAGGTTTAGGAAAAACATGGAAGAATGGCGCATCTGTTTGTTACCTGTGGTTGGCAGCGGCTAGTCAGCCTGGATCATATCGACCTCGGGTTCGTGTATTCAAGTCCCATTCTCAGCTCCTAACTTATCCATTTTTATGTTCACTCAAAACCCTAGTGTAGACTGAAGCCCCTCCTTCATTTGTACACTCGCTGTTTAATAGGAAGACTTTAAAGTTATTATTATATAAATTAGTGTCATCGAATAATCGCTGATAGTGCTCGTTCAGGTTTTGAATTCTCTCGTGGTTTTTAACCCAGTGAAATTAATAACGCCTCCCCAAAAAACAAAGCCTGCTAATGAATTTGTTACGCGCACGATCACAGTCCATTATTAAATGGAACAACTGCTTATGGTTTTGTTCCCCTGGATGAAATCTGCCCTTACAGAGACACGTGAGGCAACGTGGCACTATTATTACATTGCGTTATAGAAGATGGTATTTTTCTTCACGAAACCTAAAGTTGAGAATTGCATAAGCTCACAGAGTTTATTATTATCAGTTAGCAAAAGTTATCTTCAGGTTGTTTTAGTCGTGCACAAAGACATCGGATCCCAATCCAATTTTATCAGTTGGTTGTATAAAAGTAAACGTTACATCCTGAGACAAAATTTCAGTAACACTGGAGGTGGCTCACTTTCCCGGTTTTTCATTAATGAAACAGCCTTAACATGGTAGCATTGGCTGATAGAAGGAAGAATAGCCTCCACTAATTGTGTATTAAAATTCTAATGGTTGATTTTACCTTTTCCATGACTTACATCACAGCCAGCTTCCGGCTGCAATTCTTCCCTCAGTTTTTCGAAGTTAGTATTGTCAACGATGTGACGCCTGCGCATCTGGTCTATTCTCTTGCAATTTCTATCATTTCTTTGCATGCTGCTTTGGGTGGGTCGTTGCTCATGGTGTCCACCAATCGTGTTTATCCTTTCCAACTTGAAAGTATTTCTTCTTTTTCTTTTGAAGAGTTCATACTCAAAAAATCCCCCTTTCTCCAACTGAATTCATCATGTTCAAATTTCAAGGCAAAATTAAAATGCAAACTTATTCGCTATCAGGATCCAGTAAAGTAAACGAGACAGTTCTCAAGTTTACAGTGATGGTTTATCTGGAGAATAACGAGATCCGTGTCAAAAGACAGGTCGATCCATAATGCATTAAGTTAATCATTGACCATATTTGACGTTTTTTAATTCTTACAGTCTAAAGGCCTTAGCCTGTTGGTTATTCTTGTTCATCTGTAAAGGCACTGAGGTCTGGTGCAAAGATACTATTACAACTGCTAATAGCATTATGTGTTTATGCGCGCGTGAGAAGCAATCGACGATTCTCACGATATGTAATAATGAATAAGAAATCCAAGATCAGATTAATAGATTCCATATTTTAGCAACTGAATATGCGAGCTGATCGTTAAACTGTTTGGTCACTGATCCAGAGACTTCCATGGGCCTGCGACCAGCCTGTTTCCGATGTTTCGCTCTACACAATCCTACCTACTCGCAACCACTGTCGTTCTTGTAACCAACAATGACTCAATTTGGCGTTGGATTGGTGGATTTATAACACTATTACAATTCAAGTTTAACAGTTCACAAATGTAGAGACGTGTTTCCATGAGTCAGTTCAAATTCTATTTCACTAGAATAATGTTGATAATCATTGTCATTGTCTTACATTTATTTCATATGGTTTATCTGGCCAATTTTTGCGTGCTTGTCATGTTTCCAAACATGTTATGCGATGAGAATACGCTGTTTTTGGACACTTGACTTGAGTCTCGAGTTCTATATCCAATCAACGAACGCTCTACATCATATTATACCGTAAGAAGGATAATCGTATTATAATTTTGTGTCAGCAGCATTATGGTGAAAGTCGATTATTCCGTCAACTGTTCGGCACCTGTCTGGACACATCATTTCATACGCTACAGTGTCACCGGTATTGGTTATTTGTGTTCTTTCCACACATATATCAATATTCACTTCCCCTTTTTTCATTATCTATTATTCAGGGATTGGAAACCGATATTTTCGATTCCGCATTGTCTTTAAACTTGAGCGCGCGCACTATCCCGGCGGAATCCCTGATTCCGTGGTCTGTGGCCACCTTGACCGTATCACGTAAGTCACGTTTGCAATGCTAGTACTTATGCATCGTGCACACAACCGGACCACCTTCAGTGATATGGAGTTGATAAACCAACAATTAAACAGTTGTTCACTCTCTTGAATGCACACACAGATACACTTGTTTTGGTTTTTCGGAACCTTCTTGTTCGCATTGCGTGCGCATAATACTTCACTGTTTGATTACCTTCACCGGTCTTGTCTTTGTATTACACATCGCATATCGTTTTTGCGCAATATCCAGGCCCTGGTAAATTTCTAAGCTTCACATTCAAATAGATAGGTGAGTGACTGACTAGCTGGTTTATCCGTTCTATTCATGGGAACCGACGGTATATCCTCGTGAATCGATCGACGAATAAGCGCTGCGGATAGCATATTTCTGTTCACAAACACGTTTATGTAAGCAGTAATCACCCACATCTCAGCTGGCTTTGTGTAAACGATTGTGTGTGTGTGTGTGCGCGCGCGCGTGAATCAAGCCACACCCATTTAGCGATGCACTGTTATGTATGTGTGTGTCCGCACGCACGCACGCACGTGAACAAAGTGACAGAATTACGTCATTAGCCTGAACCATCTTTTGTGTTTGTCGGCAGCGCCAGTGCACCCCGGGGATTCAGCATGGTGTTGTTATTCGCAATTGCCGGTCTTTCTTAATTAGTGTTTATATGCATATACGCATTACAAGTATTTATGACAATGTCTGGTTTGTTGCGCTCGTGAACGAAATAGTATTGCAAAGCTCAAAGGTTTGCTNTTTGCTCGCAAGTGGCAAGTGCGAGTTTACACATACATTCGTTTAGTTTCTTTTCATTCGGTAAAAACATGTTAGATTTACGGTTGCACAAACAAATTGCATAGTCACAAGAGATTGGCATGCAGTGCCTACTATCTGTAATGAGATGGCCACAACATGGTAATTGCAAAGCTACTTACCAGCCTAATTGAAATAGGGCCTACAGATTTTTCGGTCTCCTTGTTCATTCTTCGTATCCCTGCATCGCCGGTCCGGACCCACGTACCNNNATTCAACGAGTTATTTCACGCCCGAAACGCTCCGTTTCGTCGATTGTGCATGGCCTAGTCAAACATGCTTGAACTCTCTAAAAGCTATGTTGTTTAACAACACTTTCGTTCTGAGTACCTTCTGAATCATTTTACTACTTTTCTCCAGGTTTGGTCTCAATAATTCTCACTGAAGTTGTTTTTTTTTAATCTATGTGGTGTGCTGTACAACAAATTTCGCTTTTCTGTGTTCTTCTGTCTATCATTCTTAGTCAATCAACTCGCCTCCACATTGACCTCCAATAGTTTAATTCAATTTACACGGTGCTACCATCTTGATTTAGATCGTCGGATATCTGTCCACAACAGTAGTGACCGTAAAGTTTCCGGACTACATAAAATCTATCACATTCTGTTCGGTCTCATGCATCGGTTGAGATCGTTGTCGAGGCTCAATTGACTTCGAATGTCTCTTCTACGATCCCTGAGGGTTTTCAGTATGATCGATACACATGCAATATTCCAATTCCCTTTGAATTTTAGATTATT